ACCCCCCTATGACCCCCACACAAAACAAACTGACACACACCATGAACACATGGCCAGACTGCAAACTCGGAGCCAAACCACAGCGGCATCACCAACTGCTGCACCCCCCTATGACCCCCACACAAAACAAACTGACACACACCATGAACACATGGCCAGACTGCAAACTCGGAGCCAAACCACAGCGGCATCACCAACTGCTGCACCCTGCTCCGATCCCCACACAAAACAAACTGACACACACCATGAACACATGGCCAGACCGCAAACTCGGAGCCAAACCAAAGCCCGGGATGTTACACCTCAGCCATCTGCGCAGTACATTACATCACAGAACTCAGTAGGTTACAACACAAAGGCTTATGCAACCATTCATAAAATGAACATTTTGTAGAACTGGGTTGTATAGAATCTTAGTAAAATATTTTGAAAAGGGAGAAATTGTGCTATATGAAGAAAAATTATAGAAGAGAGTACAGAAGGTCAATTATTAATTTGTTTTTCTGGAATATTCAATCTATGAACTTCTGAGATTGTCAAAAATCTATACTTCATGGCTGCTTTATTTCCACAGAAGCTAAAAAGTAAATAGCAAGATAAATCAACATTTTGTTCTCTTATACTTATTCAGAAAACCATGGAAGGGAATAAGGCTAACAGGGGTGCCACCAATATCTGGAGAGTCACCATGTTTCAGGGTCATGAAAGTTTCTGAAGTGAGAGGCTGGACAGACAAAACCAAAGGTATGAAAAAAAGCCATCTTTTTACTTCTGGCTGTCCTTTCTCCATACAAAGAGAGAAACGCTTAGACTTCTTCAAAAATAAGCCGTCACTTGTTTAAATTACTTTTTTTATTTTTATGAATATCCCTTTTGAATCCTTCATGCACATTTTCAAACATAAAAATCTTTCAACTAAATCGTCTGACATTAGTTATAATTGTTCTATAACGTGGCAATTCCAACAGTTCCTCGGGAATCTATTAAACTTTGGAAAACAGTATCATCAGACTAGACAGTCCAGTAGGAAGGGCTTGATGAACACTTTACATTTGATGTAAAGAGGAGGGTGGTTGAACTCAACTCATGGGTGGATAAATAGAAGTTTTCATAGCAGTAAGCAACATGGCATATGGTTTTTTAATCACAGCTATGCTGCTAATAGTAATTCAAATCTCTTTTCATACTGAGAGATCAATGAAAATATAGTATTTGCATTGTTTATGTCAAATAAGTTACATGAGGATGTTAGTTTATGACTTAAAAGAGATTCAGCAACTCCTGAATGAAAGCTTCCATTCATTTTTAAAGAAATACCATGATGATTGTACAATATTGGGATCTTCGTCTTTGTAATACTGTAAGCAAATACTAGGGTTTAGGCGTCTATTAATATACAAATATACATATGTAAACAGGTAATGTACAACCAGCCTGAAGTTGTATCTTGCATCACAATTCTGAAATTGCACCAATGAACATAGTATAAGAATGCTACAAAGAAAAGATATGATCTACTACACCAATATACCTATAATAATAGCTTAAAAGAAACAGCTATCACACTCATTCTCTCATGTTATTACATATCCAACATCAGAAACTAAACTAACATTGATACAATTAATAACAGAAAAATGAAAGTTTCATTTATTTACATAACTGTGCATCTAGGATAAAAATTAAATTTTGAATCATACAATTCCAGATTTCTTCATCCATTCACGTATATAAACAATGTTTTATCTGTAATGGCAATAAGTACCAAATAGATACCTCTAACCTCTTTAACCCTAGTGGTAAAACTGTAGAACATATTGTATATTTATCTGTATGAATAATAAATAGCCATATACAAGTGTATGGAAACACACAACAAACACTCTCTCTTCAGGCTGAGGGTTGTTATGATAAACATAATTCAAACAATTCAAGGAAGAAAATAATTAGCCTTTTTTTAAAAAAAGTGCATGGAAATCAAAACATTTAAAAGATTAAAAGAGCTCAATTTTGGAAGGAAAATTCAATCTGGTTTTATAAAAATAAAATGTTTTTCTAAAAATTTGAGGAGACATAAAAACAACTCACTAAATAGAGAATGCAGAGAGCTTTCTTTAGCTTTGAAATGCATATTGTGGCAAAGAAATCCTAAACAGTAGGAGAGTACATGAAAATCTTGGTTCTTTAATATTTCAGGAATTTACTGGCAAAATGAACACATTTATACTTAATGGATTTCCTTAATTCAGGCACAATTCAGGCATTAATTGTAATGCTTTAGAAGACATGAATTTTAATATTAGATATTTTCTATAACCTTTCTAATAGGAAACAAGACTTTCTTTCTTCTTACTCTGGGGCACTTTGATTTCTGTGTACTCCAGAATGATTTATTTGGACAACATGGACAATGCCAACAATGCACAAAATGGCTAAAGCATTCAAACGGCAATATGTCCCTAAGACTGAAGAACATTACCCAAAATTTAAGAGTGGGACTAATTTGCATGCATTTACTCAAGTTCCAGTATATTTAAAAGACTTAAAATAACAATCTGACTAAATTACTTATACCTGTATAAGTTTTAAAAGCTTTATAGATAATTTCCATAAAATTATTTCCTGAGTCTATCTTTTTCTAGCCAAATTCAACAGCCAAATTCATGAAGAAAAACATACCTCTCTGAATGTGAAGAGGAAGTCCTATTAGACAAATTTTAACATGATTTTAATTATCACAGTGTAAATGTCTATATTTAAGTTATTTAAGTATGAAGTTACACTGTTCTCTATCAGTGTTAGTCCCTGGCAAATTTCTGCAACCTATACCCTGGCAGGTATTGGTTTTCTTTCTTAAAATACAAATCATAGTTCTATTCCCTCCTCCCCCACCCCAAATTTATATCAATCCAAACAATATCTGAAATAATTAGCAAACATGTAAGGAAATTATTATGAAGGAAGAACTTTAAAATTACATTATATGCTGAAGACTTAAAAAAGAAAATTTTGGATTAAATTTGACTTTGTTGTAATAATGGTGTAACAAATAAAGGAAAAGTGATATAAAGGGACCATGTAATGAGTCTATCAATCCCAACTCTTTTACATGAAGATAAAAACCAATAAAATATTATAAAGGTCTTATTCTGATTTTTCAATCCATGGAAGATCAGAAGAGATGAATAATAGGACCACTTGGGTGTCCCATCTACTCTAGATTATTTGGCGTGCCAAAATAAAGAGCTCTTTACTCTCTCTGACTTGCAATGAATTTCTGCAAACATTAACATCACACCCAGAAGTCAATTCATTTGTAACAGCCTGCAAGGACTCGAGTAAAATAACTTATCAATTATCCCTTGTGGTAGATGATAAGCCTTTCAAATTAGCTGGGTAATAAAGTAATTTAACAGCACAAAACCTGTGAATTTTCAACAATAAATAGGCACAAAATATCGCTCAGTCAAACAATCATATAAAAATAGTATGTAGCATAACAAGAGATAATGAATAAGTATTCAAATAAAACCTGTACTAAACTTGGCATCAATAAGGAGAAAGTATTGAACGAATGTGAAAGATAACAGGGAAAAAAAGGTCATGTTTATAAAGTCTGAAACTTCTTACGTTTTTTTTTTCTCCAATTGCCTGAAATATTTTAAAACACTTTAATCACTTACTGGTTTTTATATAAAGGGATAAAACACACCTTAGCTATGACACAAAAACTATTATTTAAAGCCTATGAAGCCTAATATGTGTATATATTTATATATTTAAAATTCCTACTTCCCAGTAAATTATTAAAAGAAAATATTTTAATTAAAGTTCAATCTATATAACTTCTGAAGCTGAACTTTTTTAGCTAGAGTCCCTTCGGTTGAATTGATGATACGATGTCTGTTTTGCATTTCCAAGTTGCCACTATCAATGAATGAAAGCACTTCTGCAATTTGAATGTGTCCCATGTAAACTTTCCAAATATATGCCAATGTTTTGCTTTTTTGCTTTCTTGCCTGGGAAAATTTATTAGCCATTTCTCACCGAAACACTACATAACCGTGAAGTTTGTGATTGCTGCTCATGGTGCTGATGAAGAGTGGTATTTCACAAACGCAATTGCAGCCAGTTCTTTACAAAATTCTTCTAATACTATCACACCTTCAAGTAATGTCATGTGGTCAACACTGTAAAGTGAAGACAAGGAATAGATTTAAAAAGCCATACAACATCAGTAGGAAAGAATCTGTATTTGACTGACAATTAATATATACTTACATAGGCCCTTCAGGTTCTAACCCAAGAAGACGTTTCCTGACCAATAGAAGTTTAGGTGTGAAATCAGGTATGCGCTGAATACGTACCATGAGATCCCCAACAACCTGCATATCATCCACAAAAATGTTGAACAAAATGAAGCAAAGAATCAGTGTATATGGATCTGAATTTTGTGTTAAAGTATCAAAATTCAACTTTCTAAAGTACTGTACATATGGTCATATGTGGGCTTCGTGCAATTCAGATGGATCCCCGGGAACCCTATCAAATTCCCACTCTGGTCCATCTGATGAAATGACAAATGATGGACATTAACAAGAATAACAGCTGCCTTCCATTTCCAATTGCTCAGCAGCAAAACCATTCACATATGCACTACTGTGGGACTGATCAGATGGCATACTTACCCTAACAATTACTGAAAAAAGAGAACGGCAGCCAGAAGCCAGATTTACATAGGGATCCAAAAGGTATTCATGAATATGTGGATGTGGAAACAAAGAAAGCTTGGACAATACAGATGTGACTTGTAGATTGACATCATATGGCTGTGGGGTAAAAAGAAAAGAAGACATTTCTTCAATATACACGTTCATTGTCTCAGATGCCTGAATTTCAGCAAAAAATTACTAGCTCTGCTTTTATCCATATGCAATATCTACAATGAATAATTTTATCACCCATGCAAGCACATGGCTTTTATTGTCTTGACAAAAAAAGCCATTATATTACTCAAAGAAAGCCAATGGCTGAGATTTCTGTTTTATTTCTTTAGGGCAATAATTGGTTTAAAGCTATCAAACTATAGGCATAAAAAGGATAGAAGGTATACAATAGATCAATTATTACTGTTTAGACTATGCAGGAGAGAAGGTTTCTATGTGTCCTATTCAATACACCAGTCGACTGTCATCTATACTGATGATCATCTGAGGCGATTGAGGGATTCTTATGGCTGCTCTTGAATGCTAATAGCAGGCTGAGTGCAGCACAAAGAATCTGTATTTTGTTTCTGTCTCTAGTTCTGGTCCTTGAATACATTTTAGCAAAAGTGAGGGAAATTATTATTAGGTGAAGCTCTCAAAAATTGGACTGATGGAACAAAACAATTTTCCTAATGTAAAACAATTCATTTGTTTGTTAGCATGCCATCTCCTGTCCATGGCTCAAGAGAACATTCATATTCCAATGTTACTATATTAGCAACCCTATAAGAAAAATGTGTTTACAGATAGTAATTGATCTATAATTACTATAATGGATTTTTTTTTGTATCAGCAAAATGTCCACTTTATCCTTTGTTCCACAGTTGTTATAGAACAGTAAGAGAGATTCAATCCTGAAAATACAGAAAGCAAGAAATTTTCAGACTAGGTGGCTGCACACAGATTGCTTGGAGCCTTATGAGACATTTTACTTACATAAGAAAACTGAAAACTTGTTTTGATTAGCAAAAATACTATTGATATCAACATATTGGGATAAGAATCAAGGAGATGTTGGGTATGAGAACAAGAGAACATGCATGGAACATGTGGGTTAAATCTGTAGTCAGGAACCATCTTGCACTTAAGAAATAAAGCAGTTTTTGCAAAGTTCTGCAAAATCATGTAATTTGGAAGTTGTAGATACAGAATTTCAGTTTCTGTGTAAAAGAGAATCAGAAAAAATAAAAATAAAAATATCAAATATTCAAGAGGTCAATACTAATGGATCAACAGCCATATACAATGTTGTGTCAGAACACTGAAATGGCATTTATGGATCTGGAAAACAGAACCTGCATCTGCAGGAAACTACCATGGCCTGCTTTATAACAGGGGTCCCCAATCTGTGGGCTGCGGCCCACTAGTGGGCCGTGAGTGATTTGCAACCAGACTGTGGAAACGACCAGCAAGTATGCATGCGCAACTTCACTTGTGTGAACAACAGACAAGTGTGCATGCATTCCATTTAAGTGAGTGGCAAATGCGCTTGCCAGCCACTTGTGTGTAACTATCCCTTCTCTCTCTGCTGCCAGTTGCAAAGCCAGAAACATTGGGAATTCTACTTTATAACATTAGTAAAAACTGTATAAAGTTGTCATATGTCAATAGAATTGCATTCAATTTTAAGTAAATGTTAACAGACATTGTTATAGTTAAATCAAGTTTTTCATTTTAATCTCAAATGGGTGCTTAAGAACATTTCCTTCTGATTTAGCTTAGCATTTTAGCTTAAAAATGCAGCTAGCCTCCCTTAATTTAGTAAAATCTAGCATACTAACAATTTATACTGTCCTCTCCTTTTAACCTGTTACGATTCCATGTTTTTTACCTCTTCTATTTGAGGGAGAGATAAACTCTTTAAATCTGAGTTTATGAACATTCAACAATTGTCAGATATAAAAAAATCACTTTCTATGGTGCAACTGTACTAATTTCACCACCATTAGTTATGTTGTGCCTAAAAAACAGCTATATCACAAAAGAAAGCAGCACAAAATGTAGATCTACCTGATCCAGAATTTTGCCCATTCTATCAAAGAGAACTTTCAAGAAATGTCCCTCAAAGAATGCAGCTTCTAAATTGCACTTTTCCAGAGATTTAGGAGATCCTGGCCATTCCCATCGTAAGCATATGGAACAATAATCCCGAAACTGAAGAAGGAAACATGTGATTACTAATTAATAAATTAAAGAAAAAATAGTAACTACAAGAAACTCATGAATAATTAACTACTTTTTAAAGATCATTTTAAATAAATCCTAAAATAGCAATATGCAAGTCTGTCTATCTATCTGCATTATAGTATCCTTCGTAGAATATTGTAAAAAACACTGTGAATGTAATTGATAAGTGCTGTTTTCTTTACAACTAAAAATACTACACTGCAAATATCACTTATGAAGAAAGGTTAAGGTACTAATCTGAGGCTATTTGAAAATTGCAAAACACATAGCAGTATATTTCATTCTTTATTTTATCTATCAAGCAGTATGAATTGAAGCAGTATTTGAATAGTAAATGGACATGGTGTATGTTAAAATACTATAAAATTGCTTGACAGATAAAATGAATGAAATTAACTATTATGTGGTTCCAGGTTTTTAAAAAATAATAAAGTAAACTGTCACATAATTATGTAACCAGGTAAAGCTGGGTTCCGCCTCTCTCTTGTCTGAAACCATCATATTATATAAAAATAGCATTTCCTGTCTTTACTTACCTGTCGATGGGCATCTCTGAGGTAGGTATCATAACCTGTTCCTTCCACATGGTAGGAAGATTTGGCTTCATCCGGTACAAGACAGAGAAAACTGCAGAGATATATGAAACAAAGATACATAAAACAAATCCTTTCTATGCCTTTACAACAATGAGCAACTCAAATACTATTTAACTTATGCTAGTTACATGAATTGCTGTGGAACAGAAAACAAAGAAATCTGTTGAGGCCTTTCATTCAACCTGATTACAAAAATTCTGAACTACTGAAAAACCACGTTTAACCCACTCCTTGTTATTTCAGTTAGCACACCATTTATTTGCTTTCTGTCCATCAATTTAAATGTCATTAGAAAGCAAAAGCACACATAAATGTAAAAAAAAAATGGTATCATGCTTTGATCAAAAGAGCATTTCATTCACATACTGATACATGCTATTTTAGGTACACATATGCTCAAATTATTAAGTCTGTCCTTTTCCTTTGGTGTAAAGAATGTTAAAAAGATCAATTTAATGTATTTGTGCATTTTTCCTTTATGTTTATTAATTTTTTACTTGAAATACCAGGCTAATTATATAAATATAGCACTTACAAAACTTGCATTAATATATTAAGGACTTCTTTATAAAATTATGGATAATATCATTGTGTAATAGTTACAAATGATAATGAAATCTATAGTTGAATGAATAAAATAATTACTTTAGGAAAATGGATGTTTGGATTTAGTAGAAACAAAAAAAAAATCAACCAAACATTCTGGCTGTTTTAGAATCAAGCTCAAGACAAGACAGTGAGATTCAATGAGGTACAATCTTTTATTTGCTTAGACTAATAGAATCTTGCCAAACTAAAGTTGTAACCTTCTAAGGTATCAGATTTATCCTGATAGATTCTAGGGTTGGTTACATTCAACCATCCTCTCTCCCACCACCACCCCGGGCCAGGATTAGGCAGTCTCTTCCTTGGAAATAGTTGGCAAAATCCTCTGATGCTGATGTAGGTGCACATCCCATCAAGGCTGAGATCTTACTGTCCATTGGGATGACAACAAATTATGTAAAAAGAAATTGAAGGAATAAGCATTACCATCTAATGGCATATCTCTGAGGATTTCCTTATTACATTTCTATTGTAATTCTGCACTCTTAAGAAGCTATTTGTAATATTTGCGTTATTTTTCTTATTGCAGTGGTTGAAGAGTGAATATTCATAATCAAAGCCCATATATTATAACTAAATGTGTGATTTTTGAGTAATATATGCTTTAAATATGAAATTAAAGATTTCAGGAATCCAGCTCAGGAATGAAGATCAGTCAAGCCTTTCTGACTGATACATTATATTCAAAGCTATCTACTAGTTTGTACTTACCATTTTGTCTACTTTGCAAATACTATCTTCTGATTTTCTCTCGGGGTCAGTGAACACACACACACACACACACACAGACCAAGACCTCTAACTCTAACCCATATTGTCACATGATGGCTTCAATGTTCATCAAAAAAAGTAATCAATCTTCTCTCCTTTAAACCTTTAGCTCCACCATATAGTAAACTTTTGCTTTAGCAGAATAATGTGATATACAAGTTAGATCATTTGTAGGAGTAGGAAGATTCAGATTCAAATCCAGCCTACTATGAAAAACAGCATCATTCTTATGTGAAAAAAATGGACAAAAAAGTGCTGTGCATGTCACATTTATTCCTGGAAGTTCATATATAATAAACGATTAATAAAATATATACTATACCAGTCATTTTTATTGCATTTATTGCAGAAACCTAAAGCAAGTGTTACAGTATTACTAACCTAAGAACAAACATTAGGAAGTTTAACACACCTATTTACAATTTTATGAACTTCAGTCTTCCCATCAGTTTTGGGATGATCGGGAGTTGTAGGTGGTGAAGTGCTAATCCATTCTTGATTTGATAATATAGTATCAGGAGAAAGATCTGTAAACAAAGGATCTTCTTCCAGGTCTCTGTTGCAAAACAAAGAAAGAATAAAAGTTAATGCTTTCTCTTTGAAAGAAAACTTTATGTCTGCAATCTGAAAAAAAAATTACATCCATCCTGTACAATTTCTATTCCTTTCCCCTTTCAGCTACAGCCTTCAACTCATGAGCAGCTTTTTAAACATGTTCCAAAAATAGTTTGAATAGACATGAAAACATTCTATCATGAAACAATCATGAAATAGGCCATTCCAACATCAGAATATTTGAAGCATGGACCACTTCAGAATTAATTACTTAGAATGATATTTCTGTTTCAAACAATATCTACTTTGACAACCAATGCACCATGGAAGCAATTGCAGAAAGATACTGTATATCTAGATATTTATACAACAAGGGAAAAACCAAGAGTTAAATGTAAAAAAATTCAAGATGAAAAAGAATGAGGAGAATTGGGATTTCCTGATTTGAAATTATATTTATAGCCTGCTGTTTGGTTTGCATGAGTGGGTGTTGTGCAAAATAAAAGAACTTTAGAAACAGAAGGGCATGACCTCAGATTTGGATGGTTTGGTTTTTAATGGTACATCAAAGTTAGGTTAATGTAGATTTTAAAAACCATTATATTATAAGTGTCATATTAAGATATGGAATAGATACAAACCAAGGCCATGCCTGAAAATGTCTTTGTGAGTCATAGTACAAGAAGGATTTTATAGGAAAGAAAAAACAGTGAAAGAGAAATGATGAACATATCTGGAGTTGTCAGAACAAGAATATAAAGAATACAAGATTAAAAGAGATCCACTGTCTACAGAGGGATTTAATTTTCAATTATTTTTACACATACTATTAAGAGAAAGTAGACAAGAGGACACTAGGAACTGAACAACTTAAGATGAAATTTTAAACTGAATTATATGCATAGGGTGAACATATAAAATGTGTAAGCTTTTACTGAAATTTGAAACAGAAAAAGAAGTTAAAGGGAATGTGGTAAATTGAGTTAAGAACTTTGGTTTTAACACACAAATAAACCAATGGGGAAATATGTGGGCTGAAAGGACTGAAAATCACATTATATTACAATTTCCAAGATAATTTTTATAAAATGATATACCATTGGTACATGACACCAAAAAACTGTCTAGAATATGTAAAGGTGCCATATTTTTCGGTGTATAAGACACACTTCCTCCCCCAAAAGTGGGTGAAAATGTCTGTGTCTCTTATTGAATGAATGTTGCCGAAGCCACCAGATCCCACCCTTCAGTCTCTGCCTCCCAGCAATTTGCTCCTTGTTGCAAACACTTCAGCACAAGTGATTTAGTAGAAGCAGCTGACTGGCGGTTCAAGCTGCTTCCCGGATTACCTCCTATCAGCTGTTCCAGGCTGTGAGGATCACTGCCGCCTATCACTGTCTCTGCATGCCCCATTTTTGGCCTCCGTATGCCCTATTTTTGGCCTCCGCGCGACCCATTTTCAGCCTGTTCCAGGCGGCAGCGATTCCCGCCACCTGGAATAGGCCGAAAATGGAATGTGCGGAGGCCAAAGATAGGGAATGCAGGTCAAAAAAAGGATGCATGGGGACCAAAAATGGGGCAAATGGAGGCGGCAATGGGTGTGGCAACAATGGTGGTGGCTATCCCTGCAGCCTGGAACAGCGGATAGGTAGTATTCTGTAAGGAGGCAGATACAACCGCCCATCAGCTGATTGCTAGATCAGGCTGTGCTGAAGCTGACTAGGCTGTTTGCTGTAAGGAGGCAAATTTCTGGGAGGCAGATTATTATTTTTCTTGTTTTCCTTCCCAAATGCTAGGTGTGTCTTATAGTCCGGAGCGTCTTATTGCCCGAATAATATGGTACTTCAACTCTATGATGAAGATGTGGAAAAATGAAGGGTCATTTTATCAAGTTTAGTAGACTTGTAAAACAGCTAAAAGAGTTTGGGTTCAAATACATATAGTTTAAAAAGCATTTTAAACATTAACATTCCACTGAAAGCAGATCTTCATTAATCTTTTTTGGGATTAATGGACAGACAATTAGAAAAGCCTTATGGAAGATTACTTTTATTAATGCTAACTTAAGCAAATTATGTGCAAAGATAGAAATTCTCTGAAATACCCATAATGGAGAAATGGTTGGTGAAGATGACAGAATTTTCAGAGATGGCAAAATTCACGATAACTATATTTGTTAGTGATTGAAAACATTTTATGGATTCCTCCCCCCGAAAAATAGACAAAAGTAGAAAAAACTTGTGATTTATGGGCTTGATGTTTAGAAAAGGTAAAGAAAAGGGAACTTCTCTAAAGGATCCTTAGGATTGATAAAATATAAATGCATTTATAACTTCTGTAAAAAAAGGTTAGAAACCACTCCTTTTTTTACTTTGTTTTCTTTCTTTTTATTCCTTAATTTCTTATTACTTTTCTTTATGTTTTAATGTATTATTTTGTAACAAAATTATTCAATAAAAATAATTTTAAAAATGAAATACACTGGCAATCTGGGTGACCCCTGCAGCAATGGTGTAACATAGTGGTGGATTTGGTTTTAGTACTGGTAAGCTCGTGCGCGCGCAAGCGCTCTTGCTTCTGCGCACACAAAGAAGCATCTGGGCATTGGGCGTAGCCTCCCGCCACCGCTTCTACTGGTTCGGCCAAACCAGGCGGAACCCGGAGCAACCCACCTCTGGTGTAACATGGCAGTGCCAAGACTGGTTAGTAAGCAATGCTGCCACAGTATTCTAGACCAGCTGTAGTTTTTAAATAGTCTTCAAAAGTAAATTACAGTAATATAATCATAAATGGCAAAAACGTGAATGACAGTCTTTGGAGTATCCTGCTGCAGATAAGGTTGCTGTTAAATGGGTAGAAAGAAGTACATTCTTCATTCATATCTCTTGCATGAAACAGCAGTATTTTCATGATTTTACTTCTACTCGTTAACTATTTGTTAACTATTAAAATAACACATTAACACATTAAATATATATTCTCAATTATTTGCTTATTAAAATTAACCTACCTGAAAGTAAAACGATTTTAGGTTTTTTTTAAAAAAAAATGAATAAAAATAAAATAATGAAACATTATAGCTACTTCAGAGGAAATTCAAAACATAATAAAACATACACTGCTCCTGGTATCTGCCCATTTTCTACCAGGTCTTTATCTTCTTGGCAGGGTGGTTTATATTCTGTATAGTTTCTCTCTTCTAAATTTCTAAGAACCAGGTTATAAAGAATGTGTTCATCAGGCTTTTGCAAAAGATGTTCAAACATTCTGAGGGTCATTATGCTGATCTGTAAAAGAAAAGGAAAAAACAAATTAAAACATACTGGAAAGGGTTAGTTAATTCCTTTTTCATATGTGTTCTCAATATTATTATGCTTGTCACTGATAGAACAGCTCTAGAGACTAACATAGAAATACATACTTAATGCAATCAATACTTGGAAAATAAGTTTTGGTTATCGTAACAATATAATTGTTACAATCTCCTAATCTGGTGACTCATTATAGGTGTAAATTTAGGAAAAGCTGCTGTAAAATCATTTTGTAAATCCATCTGAATGAACTATTCTAGGTTAGGGATGGGAAATTGTCATCCTTCTCCAGTACTGAATTAGTATGGTTTGTATGGCTATCACTGAAACTGCAATTCAGCAACAACTGAAGGACCACAACTTTCTCATGCATATTCTATTCTATAGTATTCTGCTTAGAGAATGGAAACAAGACACGCCACAGGTTCAAAGTAGCACTTAAGTGAATGTTACATGCTTCCTAGCCTGTAACATTCAAATCTTGAGGCAAATCTTGAGGTATTAGTTTTCTAATTCCTAGACCAATCGAGCACTTTAGGCTATCAGTGACTTGCCCAGCCTTTGAAAGTGCTGACAGGCCTTTCTACTTCACGATTTTCCATTTCCTCTTACCCATCTCTGCACCACATCCCAAAATGCTACTATCCTCTATTTAACAGATAGGAAAGGAAGCACATATGCTAGAGATTGCATACAGACTTTTAAGTATTTGTTTTTCAGTTCTTTATGGATTACTCTGAATTATTCATCCTCAAGAGTGGTCTGCCCACTTAGAAATGAGACTATTAGAAGGTGTAGCAGTATAATCTTCATTCAAGCTTTTAAAATATATATTTACTTATAGTTATCTGGTGTCTAAAGATGAACTATTTTGTAATGTTGTTCACCATTTAAAACTTAACTTATTAATAAACATCTTGAACACCATTTGTTTCACAATAGCACTGTGCACTTGCTATATTTGAACTTCTTACCTCATCTGAAATGTGATCACAGTGCTCAATTAAGCGATGTCGCAATGGATGCCTGTTGACATCCATTAGTTTTTCTGGCTCCCGCTGCTCTCCAAGGATGAAGTAAACCATTTCGTGAACTAAGGCATCTGATGAAACTTGACGAACGATACGATGCAACAGGGCAGTTGAAGTAAGAATTCCAATCTCTGAACTGATCATAACAAGAATTTTTAAAAACAAATTTAGTATTTTATTTTAGTATTTTATTAATATTTATAGGCCGCCCTTTTCCCCGCGGGGACTCAGGGC